TAGAACGTGGGTCTCACAGATTTTTCGTCTCTTCCTGTTTTGGTGACAACTTAAAAATTTGATTGGTAAATAAATTATATGTATATAAAATGGTGGACAGCAATGTATTAAGGTGCCGACAACCAGAACTAGGCCCACTGCCTCAATATGTCCTAATCCAAACAAATACCCAATGTACACATTTGTGACAACACGTTTTCACCTTCCCTCGCTGGGGGGTAGCCATGTGAAATGAACAGAATTTTGGACTCGTAAAACGACTCTGAAGCATTTGCATAATGCCTTTAGTAATCAGGAAGTACAGGCCGATTTTAGGTCAAATGCAATGTAGTAAAATCCCATACGATATAGCCCTGGAACATACCATTCCTTTCTAAATGTCATTTCTATAAATATAATATATATGTAAATGTATATATCCAGGGCTTTTTTTCAGCGGGACCTACGGGCGATCACAGTTCTGGCACCTCTAGAAGTGAATGAATGTAATTGCATGAGGTGGTGAGGTGTGCTGGAGGGTCTATTGTTGTTGGCTGCTGGAGGTTTATTGCCACTGGGGGATCTATTGTTGCTGGTAGGAGATCTATCGTTGAAGGGCGGTCAGATGTTGATCTAGGCGCATGGGTGTCAAACTGGTGGCCCTCCAGCTGTTTCCAAACTACAAGTCCCATGAGGCATTGCAAGATTGACAGTTACAAGCGTGACTCCCAAAGGCAGAGGCATGCTGGGACTTGTAGTTTTGCAAACAGCTGGAAGGCCACCAGTTTGACACCCCTGAAAGGGGATCTACTGGTGAGGGAGAGGTCTATTGTTGCTGGCTTCTGGAGGGTCTGTTGCTGGCAGGGGTCTATTGTTGCTGGGATAGACCTATTGTTACTGTGGGGGGGTCTATTGTTGCCAACTGCAGGGGATATATTTTACTGCTTTTTTTATATCTTTAACCACTTGCCTACCAGGCACTTTTACCCCCCTTCCTGCCCAGGCCAATTTTCAGCTTTCAGTGCTGTTTCAATTTGAATGACAATTGCGCAGTCATGCAACATTGTATCCATATAAAATTTTTATTTTTTTTTTTTCACACAGAGCTTTCTTTTGGTGGTATTTAAGTGCCTCTGGGGTTTTTATTTTTTGCACTATCAACAAAAAAAGAGCAAACAATTTGAAAGAAAATGTTTTTCTTTGTTTCTATTATATATTATAATTTTGCAAACGGGTAATTTTTTTCCTTCACTGATGTGCATTGATGAGGCTGCATTGATAGACAGCACTGATGGGCACTGAGAGGCGCCACTAATGGGCACTGGTAGGCAGCACTGACGGACAACATTGACTGCCGGCACTGCTGGGCACTGATGAGGCGGGACTGGTGGGCACTGATGAGGAGGCACTGATATGCAGCAATGATGGGCACTGATGAGGCGGGACTGGTGGGCACTGATGATGCTGCACTGATATGCAGCAATGATGGGCACTGATGGGCACTGACAGGCGCCACTGATGGGCACTGATGGGCGCAACAGCTGAGCGGCACCTTCTAGCCAGCACTGATGGGTGGCACTGCTGGGCATGGATGATCAGGGCACCGATAATCAGTGCCCTAATTATTAGTGCAGATCTGCTCTGTGACATTTGTCGGTTATCGGCAGTACTTTCCTCGCGCTGTGACAGCGTGAGGAAAGTGCTGCCGATAACTGGCAACTGTATTTACTTTGTGATCTGCTGTGTCATTGTCTTGCAAGGCATTATGAAACTTGTAGTTCCTCACCAGCTTGAGGGCCGCTGGTTTGACACCTGTGCCATAGATCCTTTAGCTGCATTATCTTTGCATTACAACACAGACTGGTATAACTGTTTTTTTTTTTTCACAAGAAGCACTTTGTATGAAATCATTATACTAGTGATTGAATGGAGGTCATTCACACCTAGCCATATACCACATTCATTCTAGTGCACAGTATGCCAACACCCATTATTTTAAATGGTGCTCATCCAGTGTAATCTGTCAACAAACACTGAATAAAAGGTACTTGTACTTCTTTTTATAGGCTGGACCACTTCGAAGGCCACTCAAACCATGGAGCTAAAGGTATAAATGGTATGCTGAAGTGGCACCAATGCATGTGTAGAAGTGCAAAAGAAAGGGAGAATGTCACCAGCACACCGAGGATCACCAATATGGGTCCAAACGTTTTAATGAACGATCACATAGTTACAGCAAGGCAACGTTTCGGAGTCTCGCAGGACCCCTTCATCAGGCATGTGTCTGAAGAAGGGGTCCTGTGGTCACATGCCTGATGAAGGGGTCCTGCGGTCACATGCCTGATGAAGGGGTCCTGCGGTCACATGCCTGATGAAGGGGTCCTGCAAGACTCTGAAACATTGCCTTGCTGTAACAATGTGATTGTTCATTAAAACGTTTGGACCCATATTGGTGATCCTCGGTATGCTGGTGACATTCTCCTTTGCTGATTCTGTAAAGTTCCAGCCGACAGTCGCTGCAGCACCCACTTATACACACAGCCATTTTTAATGCAGGAACGTGTGCGTTTGGATTGTACAATTGCATTCTGAAGTGTAAAAGAAGGTGTGAAAGGACCCTTAATGTAACCCAATCTGATCTGATCTGTATAATGTGTGCCGGCAGGTGCGCGCTAGGTGGTGCGGTATGATGCGATGATGCGATGCTGCAACACACTGCATCAGCGTAGCACTAAATGTAACTAAAAGACAAAAGGCAAATTGCATTGTATCTGCATTAGAACTGCATTGGGTAACACTGCCCAGCACATCTACTTTTCAATTAAAGTAAATAAAATTTTTAGGGCTCATGTACACGGGATGTTTGGAAAACTCTTCTGAACGATGGAAACTGACTGCTGGAAAACGTAGGTTAAAATACATCTGTTTGGCCGCATTTGCATACCGCGTTTATGCACGTTTGCGTTTAGAAGCATTTTTTTAAGATAACCTCAGGAGACTTTCCAAAATTCCCAGAATGCACTGAAGAATAGTAAAAAATTAACTATTTCAGACATTTTGAGAAAAATAGAGAGCAGAAGCAGAGAGAACACTATGTGTTGAGATTACCTGTCTTTTCTGGTTGTATTCACTATGGATCCCATCATGAGCATAATGCGGCACGTTCTACCATTTTTTCCTTCACACAAAACCTGGAACGGACTGCGCTGGTGTACCGGGTCCATTTGAATACATGGAAAACACTTTGCATGCATTTCTGATGATGAAAAAAGGCTGTGGACAGCATCTGGACATGGAACAGTTAAAAAACGCTTCTAAACGCAAATGCTTCTAAATGCGTTAGCCGCGTTTACGCACATTTGAAACGCTGATAAAATCTACTCCTGAACGCAAGTTTGGTGCGTTCAATAAAACGACTGTAAACTCAACTGCCTGTAAACAACATAGTGTACATGGACACATCGGAAAAGATTAGGGAGAGTTCAGGGCTGCTGAAAAAAATGCAGAACAGCTCCTAAACGTGCGTTTATCAGCTGCAGTGTACATGAACCCTTATGCTTCCCATTCTTTCTACACACCACAGCACACTGTGATGCAGTGCAGTAGATCCCAACCTGCCGCATAAAAGTGCAACCTGTCTGGCAGGATTCACACCTATATGTATAATGTATCAACCTAACTCTGGACAAACAAAGTTTTTCCTTGCAGTGAGACAGTTCCCATACTGCAAGGGTTAATTGCTCATTTATACCTTGAGGACAGGCAGAGCAGTTTTACTTAGTTGATCCTCAGCTACTGCAGGCTCCTTTCTGCTGCTGGACCAGTCCCTACAGCCTCTTCTCCCCTGCAGTCTAAGGTCCTCGGACATCATCAAGTCCCATGGACCGTAGGCCTGCATTGGGCGTCATGACACAGAGGGACAGTCCACTGTCAGAGTGCAGGGGAGCACCATTTGCCAGGAGGTAGAGGATCAGGAAAGTAAAAGTGTTCCTACTGTCCCCTAGACTAATGCAGGCCATACATGGGTCGAATTCTGAACTATTTTCTTTAGAAAATTGGAAATTTCATGCGTTTTGTAATCAGATGGTGCTACCATTGATTTTGAAATTCAACCAACCAAGCCTTCAATTTCACCTCATGTTGCTACAGAAAACAATTTTCATGGCTAAGAATTTTCTTTTCTTTCCAGGTCACAGCTCATGTTAATTTCTTTTTCATTTATATTTCCCCCACGATTCTCCCATCATTGATTCAAAATGAATTCATTTTTCAAAAAATTTCCAACATGCCCGATCACTCAAATTCGATGGTCACACGAAAATTGTTTCTGTGACCCACTAATGGTGCAAATTTCAAACAAAAATTCTTAGAAAAGATTTTCAAAAGAAAATTCTTTCAGAATTCGACCCGTGTATGGCTGGCTTAAATGAGCAATTACGGTAATCCTTGCAATCCCACTGCAAAGGGAGATGTGTCGTTTTTCTGAAGTTCAGCTGTAGCCTCCCTAGAGGTCTGATTATGTCCATATTTCTGGGCTCAAAGCGGTACATTTTTTTGCATGAAAATATGTCCTTTTTTATTGTAGGCCTGTAATTTTTAGGAATAACTCACTGAAATCTGTCCGAACAAGAGTCTAGTAAACATCCCAGGTATGTTAAAATTTGAAACAAGAAATCCTAAATTATAATATAATAAATAATCATAAAAAATAATATAATAATAAATTTAATTCAATAATATATCAAACCAAAAACACGGAAATTTGAAATAGAGCGCCAAGTTCGCACATCACTGAGCAAAGTCGCAAAATCGTTTTCAGTGTCTGATGACGAATTTCCCCACGAATCATTATCACTCAATTCTGCAAGTGGTTCTAATTTACTATCACTGTTCTCTAGCCAGTCTAGAACTGCTTTTGACCTAAAGGGACGCTTTTTGGACGCCATGGACATTTCTCAGTTTCCAGGCAATAAGAACAGTAAAAATGCAGGCAGGGCTCAGGACAAAGCACTCGGGACAAAATGTATGTGAAATGGTTTGATACAGTAATGTTTTACTATGTGATTTTAGTGTATTTAGTGAATGTCCCTTTTTCACATTTTTAAATTTCCCGCCAGTTCCGTCCCCCGTACGTCCTGACGTCGCAGGGAATGGAACCCGGAAGACAGATGCCGGCATCTGCCGGAGGACATTACAAGGGACACTACAGGAGGGACATTGCGGGAGCGCAGGACAAGGTAAGAGAAGAACAGATCCCGGAGCAGCGTCGCATGGTAAGCCCGAGTGTAGCTCGGGGTTACCGCTTTTGGTACTGAAATTTTACCCCGAGCTACACTCGGGAATACCGCCAGGGAGGCTACTATACTTATACCATATTCTGTCAACTTTGTTAAACTAGTCAGTAACATGGTTAACCTCACCATGCCATGTTTCCAAATGGCTACTCCGGCTTCTAGCAACACATATACACTTATACACATACACATATACAAGGTAAGTGAAGAAGAGATCCCGGAGCAGCGCTGCAAGGTATTCCGGAGTGTAGCTCGGGGTTACCGCTTGTGGTGCTGAAACTTTACCCCGAGCTACACTCGGGAATACCGCCAGGGGGGTTAAACACACATTACAGTGAATGTGCAGAGGTTTCCCATTGATTTTGATGATGCTCATTCAGATATATGCAAGGCAACAACCAACAAAAATTCTTTCCATTTTTTCACAGCATCACGATTTTCAGTGAAAATAGATTACATTTTTATGCTTTCAGGTTAATATTTATGCGAAGCAATCCCTAGTTTTATAGTTGGCTCCTGCCTAAATTGGCCCTCATATGTGTATGGGACATGATTGTGAGGGAAGGACCTTAGCTTGTGAGCTCCTTATGGGCGGGGACTGGTGCGAATAATATCAAAAGCGCTGTATCAATTGTTGAAGCGATATAAATGTCTGTAATAAATAACTTAAAAGTATAAATGAACAATAATAAATATACAGTGTATATATAACACAGTATATACAGGATAGTTTGTGTACACACACACTATTGCCACTGGATTCAGGTGTTCCAAACACCTTCATGGTCACAGCTGTATAAAATCAAGCCCCTAGGCATGCAGACTGCTTCTACAAACATTTGTGAAAGAATGGGTCGCTCTCAGGAGCTCAGGGAATACAAGCGTGGTACCGTGATAGGTTGTCACCTGTGCAATAAGTCCTTCTGTGACATTTCCTGGCTACAAAATATTCCACGGTCAACTCTTAGTGGGATTTATTTATTTATTTCAGGTACTTATATAGCACCGTCCATTTACACAGCGCTTTACATATATATTGTACATTCACATCAGTCCCTAACCCTCAAGGAGCGTACAATGTAAAGTCCCTAACTCACATTCATATATACACATACTAGGGACAATTTAGACAGGAGCCAATTGACCTACCAGCATGTCTTTGGTATTATAACAAAGTGGAGGCAACTGGGAACAACAGCAACTCAGCCACAAAGTGGTTGGCCACGTAACATGACAGAGTGGGGTCAGCGCATGGTGAAGCGCACAGTGCTCAGAAGTCGCCAACTGTCTGCAGAGTCAACAGCTAAAGACCTCCAAACTTTGTGTGGCCTTCAGATTAGCACAACAACAGTGCATAGAGAGCTTCATGGAATGGGTTTCCATGGCCGAGCAGCTGCATCCAAGCCTTACATCACCAAGTGCAATGCAAAGCGTCGGATGCACAGTGGTGTAAAGCACACCGCCACTGGACTCTAGAGCAGTGGAGATGTGTTCTCTGGAGTGATGAATCACACTTCTCTGTCTGGCAATCTGATGGACATGTCTGGGTTTGGCAGTTGCCAGAAGAATGGTACTTGCCTGACTGCATTGTGCCAAGTGTAAAGTTTGGTGGAGGGGGGATTATGGTGTGGGGATGTTTTTCAGGGGTTGGGCTTGACCCCTTAGTTCCAGTGAAGGGAACTCTTAAGATGTCAGCATACCAAGACATTTTGGACAATTTCATGATCCCAACTTTGTGGGAACAGTTTGGGGATGGCCCCTTCCTGTTCCAACATGACCGCACACCAGTGCACAAAGCAAGGTCCATAAAGACATGGATGAGTGAGTTTGGGGTGGAGGAACTTGACTGGCCTGCACAGAGTCCTGACCTCAACCCGATAGAACACCTTTGGGATGAATTAGAGGGCAGAGGGCGAGCCAGGCCTTCTCATCCGACATCAGTGCCTGACCTCATTATTGCATTTCTGGAAGAATGGTCCAACATTTCCATAGACACTCCTAAACCTTGTGGACGGCCTTCCCAGAAGAGTTGAAGCTGTTATAGCTGCAAAGGGTGGGCCAACTCAATATTGAACCCTACGGACTAAGACTGGGATGTCATTAAAGTTCATGTGCGTGGAAAGGCCGGGTGACCAATACTTTTGGCAATATACAGTAGTGTGTGTGTATATATATATTTATTAATTTATTTATTATTAATAAAATACATACAAAATAAATATAATACAGTTTTATAATAAAAAATAAAATGTTTTTTATTTTCCAAAAATAAAATAAAAATACGTTTAGTATATAATAAAGTTTTATAACAAATATATAATATAATATCATATAATACAGTGAATCTTATATCAAATGAGATGATTTTTTTTAAAAATAATGAAATAAAAATAAATTCGTACTAATTCTAATAAAGTTTTTATGGTATAAAAAATTAGAACGTGTTTTTTTTTTTAAAGCAATAATTTAAATTCATATTGAATATAATGTTTTATATTTGGCTCCTGTCTAAACAGGCCCTAGTATGTGTATGGGGCATGATTGTGAGACAGGGACCAAAGGTTGGAAGCTCCTTAAGGGCTGGGACACAGGTCCGTCCATCCGTCTCTGGCACTGCATAATGTGTTGAAGCTATATACATACCTGGAATACATAAGTAAATAAGGTTCTAGAAGTATCTGGACTCCTGTACACTGCAGCTGATAAACTGACATTCAGGAGCTGTTCACCATTTTTTTCAGCAGCCCCTGAACTCTCCCTAATGTTTTCCTATGTGTCATGTACACATCGTCGTTTGCAGGCAGTTGAGTTTACAGTCATTTTTTGAATGCAGAAAACTTGCGTTCAGGAGTAGATTTTACCGGCGTTTCAAACACAAAACGTTTGTAAACGCAACTAAACGCATTTCTAGACATTTGAAATTTGTTTTTAACTCTTCCATTTCCAGATGCTGTCCAGAGCCTTTTTTCATCATGAAAAATGCATGCAAAGTGTTTTCCCCGGTACTGAAATGGACCCGGTACACCATACTTTGAGGTTTTGCATGAAAAAAAAAAATGTTAGACACTGCTGCAATAATTTCTGCACAGAAATGAGACGGAACACATCCAAACACCACAAAAAAAAGACAGGGAATCTCAACACATACTGCTCTCTCTGCTTCTGCTCAAAATGTCTGAAATAGTAAATTTTTTACTATTTTTCAGTGCATTCTGGGCATTTGGGAAGGTCTCCTGAGGTTATCTTTAAAAAATGCTTCTAAACGCAAACGCTCATAAACGCAGTATGCAAATGCAGCTAAACAGACTTTTTTTAACCTACATTTTCCAGCAGTTTCCATCGTTCAGAGTGTCCTGTGTACATGGGGCCTAAATGAACAATAATTTTAAAAAAAATATTGTGCGTGTATATATATATATATCTCTATCATGAAGAAAGTCATAAATGTAATCAAATTTTATGATTTTTATAATCAAATTTTCCTAGATTGTAAGCTCGTAAGAGTACGGCCCTCTTACCCCTCGTACGTTGTTTGTTGTTGTTGTACTGTGCCATGTATTGTCCCCCCTATTGTACAGCACTGAGCAAACCCTTTGGCGCTATATAAACTCGTAGTAATAATAATATAATAATAATAATAATAAATAATACACTAAAATAATATAAAATGTGATTTTTTTAAAGCAATAAAATAAATTCATAATAAATAAATACATTCATAATAAAGACAATAATGTTTTGTAATAAATAAATGATAAAATAAAATATATATATTTTTTTAAAAAATTATATTTTCTATTATTTTATTATATAATTTATTACAAAACATTATTATCTTTATTATGAATTTATTTTATTGATTTAAAAAAAAAAATCACATTTTCTATTATATAATTTATTACAAAACATTATTGTATTTATTATGAATTTATTTTTATTTTATTGCTTTAAAAAAATCCAATTTTCTATGAATAGAAGTGATAATAAATGTAATAGAATTGTATAACAAATCCATGATAGGACATGATGTTTGTGGAGATGAGGAGCTGGCAGGACTCATTGGTCTCCCTGGGTCCCCATTGAACAATGACTGTGGATGGGTATGTGTGATCTCAGTACATGTCAGTGTCCGGGGAAGGACCGCAGAAGGCAGGGCTGTCAGTGGGGACCGGACCGGCCCGGGGTTACCGGCAGAGGCCGATCACAGGCAGGATGGGCAGGATATGAGGAAAGCGCCCTTCCAGGATCCTTGGAGCGGGGCAGCCATGGTGGGATCGGGGAGGATTTTTCATAAACAGTCCCCATGTGTTCAAAAGTACAACGAAAAGTCCGTCTGCAGCGGAGGGGAAGCCCCGGAGGAAATTCCCTGGGCCCGCCCCCTTGATTGATAACCGGGGCAGGGCGGGAAGTGTCGGAGTAGTGCGGGGCGGACACGGAGCGGCTGCTTACATTGTTTACATAGCCAGCTGAAGCTGTGACGGCGCCGGGCCCCTGCAGCGGACTTGTATCTCCCCCTTTGGATTGTATCTCGAGCCTTGTTCCCGGGAGCCGGACAATCAGCATGGCCTCCATCAGTGATGGCAGTACGGACGCCCTGCTCGCCAGGTTCAAGCTGCTGGAGGAGACGGTGGACAAGCTGCACCGGGAGAACCGGAGCCTGACCGCCAAGCTGAAGAGTTACAACATGCTGAGCACCTTCTACCACGAGGCCCGGCAACAGAACAAGAACCTCAACCGGCTGCTGGCCGACAAGGAGGCCCTGATCCTGAAGATGAGGGATGGACAGCACAGCGCCTGCGCCGGACTGCCGGACCAACAACTGCAGCCCTCCAAGTCCCTGGTGGACGGCCTGGTGGGACAGCTGAGCAGTATGAAGGACCGGCTGAGAGAGACAGAGAGGCTCTGCCAGGAGAAAGTAGAGGCCCTCAATCAGGTAGGCACACAACAATGTATCCAATGTCATCCAACAATGTATATGTATAGGAGTGTCATCCAACAATGTATCCAATGTCATCCGACAATGTACATGTATATGTATAGGAGTGTCATCCAACAATGTATATGTATAGGAGTGTCATCCAACAATGTATCCAATGTCATCCGACAATGTACATGTATATGTATAGGAGTGTCATCCAACAATGTATCCAATGTCATCCAACAATGTATCCAATGTCATCCAACAATGTATCCAATGTCATCCAACAATGTATCCAATGTCATCCGACAATGTACATGTATATGTATAGGAGTGTCATCCGACAATGTATCCAATGTCATCCGACAATGTATCCAATGTCATCCGACAATGTATCCAATGTCATCCGACAATGTACATATATATGTATAGGAATGTCATCTGACAATGTATCCAATGAGATCCAACAATGTGCGTGTGTGTGTGTGTATATAATAGTGTGTGTATAGGAGTATAATCCAACAATGTATACTATTATTGGAGTATGATCCAACAGTATAGGAGTGTGTGATATAATAATGTCACAATGTGATCCAACACTGTATACAATGAGATCTAACAATGTGTGTGTATATGTAAAGGAGTGTCCTCCAACAACGGATACAATGTGTATTATAGGAGTGTCCTCCAACAATGGATACAATGTGATGTAACAATGTATATTATAAGAGTGTACTACAACAATGTATCCAAACTCCGATCCCTTTGTGCTCCATTGAGCAGACTTTCCTTTACTTCCTGTCTAAGAGACCAAACAGGAAGAAAGAGGAAATCACTCAGAAAGGAGTGCTAATCTTCCAAATAGAGAGTTGTCCTCAGGATAGATGCCCCTTTTTGGAAGGTTTCCCTTCTGTTTCTGTTCTGGAGAGACCTGTGTCGTTTCCCATTGCTTTCCATCCCTGTAATACAGAAAGTAAATCTCTCAGCAGGGATATAGTCAGCAATAAACACCTGAGGGGACATTCAGCACTTACTCAAAAGTGTCCAAAGAACTAGAAATGACAATTGCGGCTTTGGGTATATTTTAACTGATCAAACTGTAGCGTGCTTCCCAAGGATCCATTAGGATGACACTCCTACAATGTGAGTTCTGATTGGTTGTCACGTGCATGTCATTGGCATTACACCATGTTACTTATGACGGCAAATGATTTCAGTGCCCTTGGCACGGGGTGTAAAGTGTTTTTTTCCCAGTGCAGTTCTGGAAGTGTGTTGGCATGCTGACGTTTGCACGTGTATCTGTTGGCTCATCTACAAACTCTGTAAAACTCGGATAAGGATCTTTATTTCAGCTGCGTGATTGCAAGTTTTACATTTATTCGGAGTCAGTTAAAATATATATACGTTTTGTTAAAATAAAGAGCCTTATCCTGGTGTGTTAGCTTTGTCAGATGGTCCTAATAAATGTCTGCATACCTTGCATTTTTGCAGCAGTGTGTTTTGTTTTTATTGGGATCATGCTTTGTACATAACATCTCCTGACTGGCCTTGACCCTGTTCTTGTGAATGTTCTTTTATTGCACATATAAACAATTGAGCAATTCCCTCCACATTCCATGGAAGTCATGCTTTTTATTTCTCTAATCAATGCAAATCTTATTTCTCTTGGAAAGTTTTACACCCTGCCCATATCCTGTGGTCTGGGGAACTCCTAGATCATCACATGAATAGTGGTCCTCTTTATCCTGATTATTTCTACCCCTATGTCCTAGAGGATGTTCCTATGTCCTGACCTGGGGTGACATCCATCATAGTGCAGAACAGGCTCCGTGAGTCATTGCATTCTCCACTCCCATGTATTCAGGCTTACGACAACTATCTCAGGATACGAGGATCCACTGAAAAATGAGCACGCCTTGAACCATTGGATACTGTTTATTTACTAGTTACTACAGAGACCGAGCTGTGCTTCTATTAAACAGAGGTGGGCAGGGTGCTTGATGACAATTCTTATTATCAACAGCTGCAGAATCACATATTGCTTAACATTGGTGAGCAAACCTTGTAAGGATTATGACAAAGGCTGATGGAAAAATCTGTTCTGTGTAAATAGGCAACATTTAAATCCAGTTTGCGTCATTAAAGTGATTGCTTCGAATGCTGCAAAGCCAGCATGGTATGCCATCACTGTAGTTTTCTGCAGTATAATTGTAAATCAATTATTTAATCAGTAAATATTAATATAAAGTTTTTAAAGTAAAGGTGATACCAGGAGCGGACTGACCATTTGGAAACTCGGGCACTGCCCGGGGTCAGTAGGGGGACCCATGAGATGCCCCTGGAACCTTCTCTTTTTTTTTTTTTTTTTTTTTTTTTTCATAGGCTTTTTTTGAGTTTGGGCAAGGACACGGGCCCCATGATCCCCTATTGCCCTGGGGCCTCAGTAGGGGGCCCCATGAGATGCCCCTGGTACCTTTTTTTTTCCCATAGGCTTTTTTGTTTGGGCAAGGACACAGGGGCCGCAGGATCCCCTATTGCCCGGGGGCCCCATGAGTTGTCAGTTCGCCCCTGGGTGATACCATTTATGAGCTATCTAAATAGATTGTAGTGCAAGCTTTCCAGGCATGGAGGCCTCTTCTTCAGGCCACCGTGCCTTGAAAGTTTGCACTATATTCTATTTAATTACCCCAAAAAAATGGCATCAAAATTCAAAGTTCTACTTGTGGGGAAGGCTAACGCCATACAACACTATGCTGCTGGTAACTTTGACCTACAAAGAGATGCCTTTCCCTGAATGCTCTGGTAGCACCCAAGGTACCCAGTTTATAAGGGCTTGTTCACACTTGACTTCTAACTCTTGCCAAATACCTTCATAGCGTTTGACGGGCATTAGACAGGCGTTTGGGAAGCAGTTTTAACGCTCCTCAAATGCCCTATGTGCGGTTTTGAGGCGGTTGATTGGTGTTTGCTAAGCGTTAAACCCGCACCACAAATGCCTATAATGAAGTTAAATGGTGTTAACGCTCCGCAACCGCTTGCCAGGCATTTGTGGAGCAGCACCATAGACTTGAATGGAAGGCTTCAACTCCTCCTGACTGGATAGGAGGCGTCAGTTTTGCCACAATGCTAACGCTTCAGTATGAACAGCACTGTGTGCTGCCATGTGTAGAATTGTCATAGGCATTTGAGAAGCATTAAAAACGCTTCCCAAACACTTGTCTGACGCCTGCTGACAAAGCTAGTGTGAACTGAGCCTAAGTGGTGTCTACTAGCTTCAAAGCCAGGAATCTATCACCCCCACCCATATCCCTCAATTCAGTGGGTTGAACCTCTGTAGCCAAAAATAAAAGATAAGATGTGCCAAAGCGCAAACTTTAAAGCTTGTAATTGGTGTTTGCATAATAAACACTTCATTTGAGCAACTATCTTTTAAGATATGCATTTTAAAAAATATTTCCCTTTCCTAAACCTGTTTTGTAATGGAGTGAAAGGATAGGGATCAGTCTAGAAGTTTATAAAAGGGTCTACCAAGAGTTGACATCCAACACATTTCTGCATTAATCCCCTTTCATCAACGCTACCACAGAACAGTCTGGAGCAAGTGTTTTACATGTGCACTTCAAAACTGACAGGTGGACGATTATTGGAGGAAAACACTCTGAAAAGTGATGCACATAAGTAATCTGTCTTGGCAGATTTCTTCCTAATACAGTTGTTATAACATTTGTACTGTTTTTGTTGCAGTGCATTTATTTATGAGTATTCTAAGCATCATATGATCTCTTCTTCAGCAGAGAATGTCTACTAAGCTGTGATGTATGTTGACAAGTATTTGTGGTCCCTTCCCATGGCAGGAAATCCAGAAGCTCCACCAGCAGCTAGAGGAGAGAGACCAGCAGATGCAGAAGATGTCCAGTTGGCCGTCACATGAGAAGGAGATGGAAATCTTCCGTCTGCATCGGTCTTTGGCGGAGAAGGAGAAAGTTCAGGCTACTAGTGAGGTCCTGTGCCGGTCTCTGTCTGATGAAACCAACCAACTGCGGCGTAAGCTGGCTGCCACAGCAGAAATGTGCCAACAACTTGTTACATGCCTAGAAGAGGCCCATCGGAAAAAAGGTGCACCATCACAAGAGCAGCAGGTACGTTCTGGTGTTGTTCTTTGGCCTAGACTTTGCTTGTGTGGTGAATGTCTACTAAGTCCTAGAACACTGAGAGTATGCATGCATGTTGTCCAAACTTCATCTTTCTGTCTTGGAGGACTTTCCAAGGTCTAGAATGTTAAAGTAGGATTTCAAAACATTCTGTAAGGAAAGCTGTACTGATAAAGTATTCAGCCTGGAATTCCTGGTTTTGCCCCTTGCAGATATAGCCTAGAATTGCCTTACTACCCCTGTTGCATTGGCTGATATTGGTAGAGTTAACATAGGCACAGTAATCTCACTGCCAGAAACGTCAAGAGATACTGGAAGCCAGAAGATGATGGGCCAGATGACTCCAAAGTTGTTTTCAGTGGGCCATCCTTTTAAAAATAATATGTTTTATGTTGATGCAGGTGTACTATTCAAGTCGGCCTATCATTAACATCCATATGTTACTTTAGTATTGGCATGTTAATATTTTGAGAAAAGACCTCAACTTTTCCTGGTCTTCAGTCAACAAAACTGCCCCCTTAGGTGACCTAAAGCCTAGACAGACTTGATGACGTCTGTGGGTACCAATGAGCATTGTTCAAACACAATTACCAGCACTCCGCTTTCACTTTACTGAAAACTCTTCCACACAGTTCAATAGCTGACATGTTCCTGCCTATATGGCCTCAGTTATGTAAGGAGAAACGCATCAGATGTTGTATTGTGTGGGACAGTCTTCAATAAAGTAAATATTGGAGAAGGATCTGAGTACTGGTAAGTGTTTTTGCATGTTGCTGTATGTCATCCTGAAAAGAGGGATTTACGGTGCAGCGGCCAGGTGGAGTAGGAGATTGAGCAATGAGCTTTGCTATAGTATGGACAGTGAGCATTGTGTGTGTTTCATTTCATAGTTATTAAAGACTGCAAGTAATCTCTATTTGGTATGCCTGCAATGAAATGGGTACAACAGCATGTCTGTATATTATACAAGCAGATATGGCAGCCCCCTTTCATCCATGTAACTGCAAAGAAGTCATAAAAAAAAAAAGCTTTATTTAATGCAACAGACACGTTTTATAAAGCAACACATTCTTATAATATTTCTGAATTAAATTGAGCCTTCATATATGTATCTAAAGGGCATTAAAGAAACTCTAGTTTTTCTTTAATGTATGGTAACCTAGTGGCTAGCAATGCTGCCCTTTAGAACTGTAACCTTGGGTTTAAGCTTCATTTAAATTCCACATGCATGGAGTTTGTCTGTTTGAGTGTGCCAGTTTCCATGGACACTTACAAAAAAAAAAAAGTAGACCTCTTTCTAAAATATGATTTCCCTGGCTGTCTGTAGCTGGTTTCTGATTCACTGGCCTGGAAAAGAGGGCAGGGAGTGATCTCAGAACTCTTACTCAGAGTACAAGTTCTCCGAAGGCAATGAAGCCAGAATGGCAGCCAGGCAATGAGCATTTCTGAAATGACAGTCTAGGTATCCCTGTTAGTACAGGTTGTAGACTCTGTGAGTGCCCTGGAGCTGGCAGTGGTGTACATAATAAAAACTGTGCTTTACCCACTTTATAAATCCTGGAAATTAAATACAGATGTTTTCTGTTTCCAGAATAAGGACGGTGAGAATGAAGCAATCCTGGGCAAGTTACAGGAAGAAAACCGTTTATTAAAACAGAAAGTAATACATGTAAGTATATGTAAATAACATGATATTTTTATAATATACTTCCTCTTTTTCTCTTACTGGAATGCCCTCATATATCAAGTTGATTAGTTAAAAGTATTCTGAATCCCTTCTAGAATATACTGATTACCACCAAGAGAAGCTAATCTGACTATATAATAATAGTGTCACTATTCTCCCAGGTAGAAGACTTAAATGCTAAGTGGCAAAAGTATGACGCCAGCAGGGAGGAGTACGTCAAGGGTCTCCACCAACAACTGAAGGAGATGAAGATGCAGAGAGAACATACGAAGGGTACACACTCCGCACACAAACACCCAGACCTCTTACAGAAGGAGATCTCCAGACTCAACAAACTTCTAGAAGAAAAGATGAGCGAGAACACCAAACTGCAGCAAGAAGCTTCTGAGATGGCCAGTGCCAGGATCGCTGACCGGGAGAGGATACAGATGCTGGAGCAGCAGGTGAGAACACAGAATATGCCTGTTTATTGTTACATGTAGATGCGAAGTAACCCTTTAATGAACCATTAGTGAACCATGGCCACACCTCTTACAATCAAATTTAACACCTTGATTATTTAGGATCCTACCAAAAAAGCTTTAAGTTCAGTAACTGGTTGGATCATCCACAGCAAACCCTTTTCTCCTGCGCTGGGAGTGGACTTAGTGGAACCAATAAGAATGTTCTGGAATGTGCACCGCTTGTTGCCCTCAACAGAATGGGATGGTCCAAATACACTACATGCAAATGGAAAAAACAAAAAGAGGGTGCACCGACCTAGTGCATTATCGTTTAAAAGTATTTATTGAAAGAACAAAGTAAGTACCATACTCACAATGGACATAAAAACACAGGCATATCACACTGAACAAGATGTTCGATCTAAATCAGCTTCCTCAGAGACTTCTGAAGAAGAGGCAGTGTCCTCGAAACGCGTTAGATAGTTGGTCATCCAGGGTTCCATTGTATGGACTCAGATGCTGTTTGGATCGAACATATTGTTCAGTGTGATATGCCTGTGTTTTTATGTCCATTGTGAGTATGATACTTACTTTGTTCTTTCAATAAGTACTGTTAAACGATAATGCACTAGGTCGGTGCGCCCTCCCTTTTGTTTTTCATTGTGCATGCAGTAACTGGTGAGAGAGAGGGATGAAATCAGAAATAAAAATCAGAGAACTCCAGATGGAGAAAGTATTCTCATAGCATTAGTTTCAGTAACGTCTGCAGGTTTAGAAAAATGAATTCTATGATCTGTATGTTATGCTGAGTTAGTAATCACTGCTGTTTCTTTTTTTCATAGTTGTTAGTCTACAAAGATGATTTCACATCAGAGAGGGCAGATCGGGAGAGAGCTCAAAGCCGCATTCTGGAACTGGTCGAAGAGATTTCATGTTTACAGAAAAAGGCAAGGAGACAGGTAGGAACTGTGGACCCTACTATTGTAATACAGGACTGGGGGTTTACTGTACCAGGGGACTCGGCAATGGTAGTACCACTACTGTATCTGCAGGATCAGTGGTGGTAGTACAGCTGGCAAGAATGGTGGTGGAACTGTAGTGTTGCTACTGCATTAGCATGAGTGTTGGTAGTAATACTGCTACCATATCAGCAGGACTGGTGGTGGAAGTAGTATTGCTGCCATGTCAGCAGCATTTTTGGTGGTAGTAGTAGTATTGCTACCATACCAGCAGGATCTGTGGTGGTGGTGGTGGTAGTAGTACTGCTACCATACCAGCAGGATCTGTGGTGGTGATAGTAGTAGTACTGCTACCATACCAGCAGGATCTGTGATTGTAGTGCTACCATACCATCAGGATCTGTGGTGATGGTGGTAGTAGTAGTACTGTTACCATACCAGCAGGATCTGTGATTGTAGTACTAGTATTGCTACCATACCAGCAGGATCCATGGTCATAGTAGTAGTACTGCTAACTAACCAGCAGTATCCGTGGTCAAAATAGTAGTATTGCTAACTAACCAGCAGGATCCGTGGCAAAGAATCAGCAGGACTGATGATCGTAGAACTGCTACTGTGCCAGCAGGATAGGTGATGGCAATACTGCTACTGTATAATCAGGATTGTTCATGGTAGTACTGCTACTGTATAATCAGGATTGGTTGTGGTAGTACTGCAATTGTACCAGTAAGACTGTTGGTGGTTGTACTGATACTGTACTGGCACATGTGACTGTTGGGGGATTTGGGCAAGGAATACTTGGTACATGATTCTGTTCCTTACTGTCCTCCATGCTCTTTGACACCTACAACTGTCAGTGACCTTATTCATTATTAAGTTTAACCTTTCATAGGCTGTAAGTGTAACTTTATTTTATTTTTCTTCTAAAGGTTGACAAAGATGTTGCTACGCAGATCCAAATTCACACCGGTAACCGGAACAAAACGTATATTCAGAAAAAATCGACTGATCCTCTGCGTGGCCTTGCCGCCGAGCATTCTGAAAACCGAAGACAGCTTTCCCCTGCAGACCCCACAGAACGACAGAGGAGCCCCAGCTCCGAACATAGAGCACAGGATGAGCTACAGTGTCCCCGCTGCCTACAGGTCTTTCATGACAGACTAGGGGAGAACTTTCTAGAACACATCTCTGAATGCTGCCAGTAACCAGGACTGCTGTACTTCCAATCTCATCACTACAACCCACAGGCTTTGTCTGCCTGTGATCAAGATGCTGCTATCAGGCTGGGACTAAATACTGGGACACCTAGGCAGATGCTTAGGTCCTAAACGTGTTAGGCAGAAGCAATATGGCCCCAGTGCTGCCTTTCACACTGCTGATTCTTTGCCAGTACAGAAGATGAAAACTGACACTCCATAGAGATGCCCTTAGGAGGCCTGTGGCTACATGAGCTATACAGTTTTGCAGAGTGCTTAAAGCGTCATAATAAAAATACTTGTAGCAGAAATAAGTAATACGCTCAGGGCTCAAATACAACCGTCCGCACTTGGCTGCTTGCAGTGGTCTGAGATATACTGTGACTTTGCCCTCATCTGTGACTGTAGGAGAGTGAATTTTAGGGATACGCAAAAACCTTTAGTGAAATTATTCATCATGGAATTATGAGGTGCTGTAACCCATGGCATCCAATCAGAATTCTGCTCAGTTTGTGCAGTCAGAACAATTGCTGATTGACTGTTATGGGTTAAGAATGTTTACACCAACCTTTTTAATATGGAGGAACTCTTTTTAAATAACTTTTTGGCCTCAGAGAACCCTTGCTAATAACTAATCTATCTACAATTTATAAAACATTAGTGTGATGACCACTGGGAAAAATGCTCTTTACATTTCTGGTGATTGGGAAAAATCCATCTAAAAACAGTTTCAGAAAGCTAAAAGTTCATTGTTGTCAGTGGTTGCATATCTGAGAGGCAAAAATTGCTCATCGCTCAAGGAACTCCTAGAAATCTCTGGAGGAATCCTAGGGTACCATAGTATCCTGGGTTGGGAAACACTGGTATACACCGCTTCTGTGCCATAAATAAAGCTCTTAGAATCCCATCCAATGTGTAGACCGTAAATAGGTCAGTCGATTTGTACTGTACTTGTGTGAGATTTCCAAGGACTGAGCATAAAATAAAAGAATTTCAGCATCATCTTAGAATGTTGTTCTGTCCATGTAAAATCAGGACGGAGCATAGTTTATGGTGATGCATTTATGTCTGTGTACTGTGATCGGTGCTCTTTTCTGGCACAAAAATCAAACTTTTGCGTGCCTATTATTCTGTGGCCAGTTATGTTCAGTTTGTCCATATGTATGTGTTTTATCATGAAAGACTTTCAGTGTATGTCTAAGGGAAGATGAGATCTATTGGACAAGGATTGGTTATCTTATTAGGTTTGCACGAGAGTTTTTTTTTATTTTGATTAAAAAAGTGAAAACAATTGATCTTTCATGGTGACAAAGTCTGTAAATCCAGTAAAAGACTTGATGGAATTCTATATAGTAATTGATCATATTTTGCTATAAAACAAATAACAGCAATCAGATCTCACAACAGTCCTTATCAATTGTAACTGGTAATGGAATGAGCCAATCACCGCTGCTGCTACCAGGTCTCTGGTCCTTCTAAATTGGACAGGTCACCATTGATCAATGACGCCTTGTCCTCTTTATCCTTGAGTTTATATGTATGGAAAAGTAATGGCTCTGAATTTATGTTTACTAAAAGACACTTAATATTGTCCTATTTATATTTATATTGATAATTGTTTTGTATATGTGTACATTTTTTGTTCTGTTATTTATTCCAGAAAATTATATAATTAAATTCTTATTTTTGTAATAAAATTACATTTATGTAACACTACTGTTTTTGGTTGGAGATTTTTTTTTTCCCTTTGTAACTTGGTTAAGCGCACAAGATGCACTGCTACACTGTACTTGTTTAAAGGGTGACTCCATTTTTGTGGCGGGAAAAAAAGTAGCATTACAATTGCAACTCAAGTCATATTGTAATTGAATGTTATTCAGAATTACCTTCCCTTTTCAATCTGCAGTGCCGTAATTTTCTCTAGAATGCAAAGCAATATGACTACCTGGGTGGTGGTCTGGAGTGCATACAGAACACCCCCTGAAAATGTCATCTCCTACTTGTGTGATTGGCTTACTGATTTTCCCAGAAGTTTGCGAAGATACCCAGATTTTTGTCATTCCCTGCAACAAAACTTTATTTTTTGGGGAGTAAAATACTCTCAATGGGAAATCACGTCTAAAGGAAAGCAGACCCTGGGATTTTTTTTTTCCTCTTTAGTGCCCTGCAGGTGATTTGATAATTAATCAGTCACTCCCATACAGATTTACTCTGCACATGGACACAGACAAACAAACGGCTTCTTTAGAATAGCAAAAGGTAGGAATCTGCAATAAAGTTTGTTAAAAATCCTTGCAATGTACATGGACCACCCAGAGGGGAATGTTTGTTTTTTTTTTTCTCGACAAAAGTGGAGTTACTCTTTAAAGGGTCAGTCCATCCAAAACTGATATTCAAGATTTTGGTGAGTGCTGGAAGGTTGAACGACTCTCAAGCTGATCAACTCTCAACCTTCTGATATATCTAGTGGACTTTTGCAGCAAGATGTGTTGCCATATGTTGTAATATAGGTGTCCATTTATGACACAGAGAATAGCTGCGATTCAACAGATCTCAGCTATTCTCTGGTCATTCACAGTTTATGACACTCAGGAGATCATGTCAGCCCTTCTCTGGAGATCTGTGTTCTCCCTCCAGATTCTCCAGCCCAGAGCTGGAGAATCAGAGGGACCGAAAACTAAGCAGAGATAATTTACCTCTGCTTATTAAACTGATCTTTTACTGTAATCTCGCGAGATTATAGTAAAATGAGCCGTTTTTCAGAGTTTGTAGACCGTTCTCCAGCGTTTGGAGACCGTTCTCCCTTTGTTTGGAGAACTGCTTCATAAACTGCATTCACAGGAGAACTGTGTTCTCTGAGAATGCCGGAGAACTGAGCAGCGATCTATTACCGCTGGTTCACAAACGGACACCATTGACTTTTTTTTTCCATTGTTTTATTAGGAATGCTGCAAAAGGAGTTAAATGTAAATAGAAAAAAGTGTTAAGAGCATTATAGCAGTTTCCTTTTATCCAGTTCAAATATCCCTGCTTCTGGTTTCTTTTCTAGGGTGTCTCCATTGCCTTACGGGGTTCTATGGAGCCACTCTTACATGCGTGCACCTCGGAGAGAGAACGAACCAACATGTCCCAGCAGCAGTGGACTGCACAGGACACACATGCACAGTGGCATGTGGCTCAAAGGAAGGGGATCAGGGGATGTTCCTTTGCTGCTATCCTTGCACATTCCCTAAACGGACATTCAGGGGAAGCAGCATGGACCAAGCTGGAGCCGTTATACATTTTTCATAACTTTTTTTTTTTTTTTTTGCTTTGTTTTGTACTTCTACTCAGTTGGTCTTGCATATATTTATTACGTATACTCCGCTGGTCTGTTTATATTGTGAGACTTTACTACTACTTCACTTACTTAAACTCCAACTATTAGGGCAAAATAGTCAGAAGCCCTGTGGGGGAGGGGGGTGGCTGCTTCTGGAGTTCCAAGATATGATACAATAGCAACCTTTAACCTCCCTAGCAGTCTGATTATGTCCATATTTCTGTGCTCAAAGCGGTACATTTTTTTTGCATGGAAATATGTTTTTTTTTTTTTTGATTGTAGGCCTGTAATTTTTAGGAATAACTCACTGAAATCTGTCCAAACAAGAGTCTAGTAAATATCCTGGGTATGATAAATTTGAAACACGAAATCATAAATTATAATAAATAATCATAAAAAATAAATAATAATTTTAATTCAATAATATAATCAAACAAAAAAACACTGAAATTTGAAATCTAGCGCCAAGTTCGCACATCACTGAGCAAAGTCACAAAATCGTTTTTAGTGTCTGATGACGAATTTCCTCACGAATCATCACTCAATTCTGCAAGTGGTTCTGATTTACTATCGCTGTTCTCTAGCTGGTCTAAAACCGCTTTTGACCTAAAGGGACGCTTTTTGGACGTTTCTCAGTTTCCAGGTGAAAAACAGTAAAAATGTAGGCAGGGCACAGGACAAGCACTCGGGACAAAATGTATGTGAAATGGCTTGATACAGTAATGTTTTACAATGTGATTTTAGTGTATTTAGTGAATGTCATTTTCAAATTTCCCACCGTTCCGTCCCCCGTACGTCCTGACACTCGTAGGGGGACGGAACCCAGATAACAGATGCCGGCATCGGCCGGAGGACATTACAGGGAACACTGCAGGAGGGACATCGCGGAAGAGCGAAGGACAAGGTAAGAGAAGAACAGATCCCGGAGCAGCGCCGCATGGTAAGCCCGAGTGTAGCTCGGTGTTACCCTTTTGGTACTGAAACTTTACCCCGAGCTACACTCGGGAATACCGCCAGGGAGGCTACTATTATTATACCATATTCTGTCAACTTCGTTAAACTGGTCAGTAACATGGTTAACCTTACCATGCCATGTTTCCAAATGGCTACTCCGGCTTCTAGCAACACGTATACACTTTCCGGCCACTTTATTAGGTGCACCTTGCTAGTACCAGGGTTGAACCCCCTTTTGCCTTCAGAACTGCCTTCATTCTTTGTGGCATAGATTTAACAAGTTGTTGGAAACATTCCTCAGAGATTTTGGCCCATATTGATATGATAGCATCATGCAGTTGCTGCAGATTTGTCGGCTGCACATCCATTCCACCACATCCCAAAGGTGCTCTGTTGGATTGAGATCTGGTGACTGTGGAGGCCATTGGAGTACAGTGATCTCATTGTCATGTTCAAGAAACCAGTTTGAGATGATTTGATCTTTGTGACATGGTGCATTATCCTGGTAGAAGGAGCCATCAGAAGATGGGGAGACTGGAGTCATAAAGGGATGGACATGGTCAGCGACAATACTCAGGCCGTGACATTTAAACGATGCTCAGTTGGTACTAAAGGGTCCAAAGTGTGCCAAGAAAATCTCCCCCACACCATTACATCACCACCACCACCACCAGCCTGAACCGTTGATACAAGGCAGGATGGATCCATGCTTTCATGTTTACGCCAAATTCTGACC